GCAAAGTTTAAGACAATAGGAAAAGAGGAAATAGCATCAGAGATGGATTGACTCAATAAACGAACCCCTTGAGTTTGCTACACTTGAGCCATTATTAGGAGAATCTCTTAGAGGTCTTTTATTCATAAATCATGGCTGGAATGATGACACATAATAGCAGCAACAACCCTCTTTACTTCAAAATGCCTGAAGCATCTGAGGTCCATTTTGGTCATTATGTGAAGGACAAGCCCTTGGATTCCAGCTAAGAAGAAAACCTAGATATCTATCCCATCTCTCATAGCAAAAATGACAAAACTGAGAACCTTCTTCCTATTGCTACTAGTCATTATCTCCTTTTCTGAAAAACAATTCAAAACAGTATACAAAATAAAACAAACAAAATGCCAAATTGCAGTTCAGCCCTCTGAAGGCTGAATTGCAATTTCAGTGAAGATATCTAATTAAATTTCTAAGGATTCGAAAGCTCAGAGTAGTAAATCTCAAACACTGAAAACCAGCAAATTAAATACCAAGTTTTAAAGGCCTGCTGAAATCTACATAAATTCTCCAGGGACCAATAAAAATAAAATCTAAAAGTATATATATAATATCTCCTGCAACTGCTCTGAGCATATTGAACATGACTCTAAGTGGTGAAACTGTAGTGTTGGAAACAAGAGGAAACCTTGTTGGCACTGTTTCCAATGCTGGAGTAAAATTCCTTGCCTAGAAGTTAGTCAAAAACCTTCCCTCCCCAGATAAATCACACTGTCAGATCCTGAGATGAGTCAAGGGTGCAAGGGGTTAGCAGCTGGTTACCTCCAGCATGTAGGCAAGAGATGGAGGAAATCATCAGCCAACTCAGAAGACAAGCCAGGGGCTTTGGGGATGTACAATGAAGAATACACTAAGAATACATCAGGCACAACACGGTCAAATATCAGCACTGTTTTATATTATTCATTTGTTTGATCTTAACACGCTCTAGTCCAGAAGGATAGTGTTGTTGTAGAATGGGAACAGTACATTTTAATGTAAAATAATAAAATGAGCACGTGTAACCACATACATATCCATTTCCTATTTGAAGGTTTTTAATGTAACAAAAGATAGCAAAGCAAGCAACATCTACTCTGTGGTAGCGCATGTATTGATGGCAGCTCACTATGTTTGCTATTATATTCATTAATATTATCTGTTACTCTCTGGGTCCCTAGAGGTTCCTAGGTTATTAAGCCCTGGGTCCAGCCATAGGATTCCCAGTTATTTCAATTATCCAATCTTGCCAAGAAATCCCCATGATATGTTCACCGTAGAGTATCATAAGTCCGGGGGCCCTTTCACACAGTCCTACATCCCAGAATATCAAGGCAGAAAATTGCACATTATCTTAGTGTGGATTCCGATAACCTAGTTCAAAGCAGATATTGTGGGATTTTCTGCCTTGATATTCTGGGATATAGGGCTGTGTGGAAGGGCCCTGTAATGACTTGAAGGCTCACAATGATGTGAGCAAATACACATACAGATATGAAATATGCATCTGAGGGCCCTTCTATATAGGCATTCAAACAATGAATCATAGAGTTGGAAGAGACCTCATGGGCCATCTAGTCCAACCCCCTGCCAAGAGGCAAGAAAATTGCATTCAGAGCACTCCTAACAGATGGCCATCCAGATTCTGTTTAAAAGCGTCCAAAGAAGAAGCCTTCACCACACTCCGGGGCAGAGAGTTCCACTGCTGAACAGCTCTCTCAGGAAATTCTTCCTAATGTTCAGATGGAATCTCCTTTTCTGTAGTTTTAAGCCATTGTTCCGTGTCCTTGTCTCCACATCTGAAGAAAATCCCACATTTTCTGCTTTGAATTGGAATATATGGCAGTGTGTTCTCAGATAACCCAGTTCAAAGCAGATATTGTGGGATTTTCTGCCTTGACATTCTAGGTTATATTTATTATTTATTTATTTCACATATTTGTATCCCACCCAGAACCTCAATCAATGGCTGATACCAAATAAGAGTCTCTCTCCTGGACACACTGGGCAACTTGGAAGGTGCTGAACAGACTGTGCTTTGGCACCATGAGATGTAGCCAACCTTAAGAAATGGGGCAACAAAGTGGAATCTGCAACATGCGAGTGTGGAGAAGAGCAAACCACAGACCACCTACTGAAATGCAACCTGAACCCTGCCATGTGCACAGTGGAGGACCTTCTTATAGCAACACCAGAGGCACTCCAAGTGGCCAGCTACTAGTCAAAGGACATTTAATAGAATGCCATGTTTGCAAACTTTGTGTTTTTTGTTTAAATACAATACAACTGTTTGGTTCGCTTCTGGCATGATAAATAAAAAAAAAATCCGCACTTCTCATCCTAAAAGGGGACTCAGGGCGGCCTTACAACAGGCAGTGATTTGATGCCAATACATATAAATATAAAGATAAACAAATACAATTAAAACCATACAATTAGACATTAATTATTAAAATTAAATGCCTATGTGGAAGGGATTTCCCAGTTTACTCCTGATTAATTTGACATCTGCAAAGATCCAAACGTTGCAGTAAGGTCCAGATCTTTACAAGGGGGTCAATTTCCACAGCCATTCTGCTTCTTCGATCTCCTGGAGCCTGAAGGAGCAGATAGGGCCCCTCCCACCCAGCCCTCCATTTTCCCCTACAAAACTTACCTGAGGGGCCTCTCCCTGCCCCTGCTCCCCAGTCACCTACTGATGTGTCATTTTTGCACGTAAGAAGTACGTTCCGGAGGGGTTTGCAATGCCAGCGGGCCCCTTTGGTAGGTTTTGGAGGGGAAAATGGGGGGCTGGCAGGTGCGATGGCATCTAGCCATCCCTCGAGGGAAAGCCCGGGGTTTGCACTGGGGTGGGGACTGAAACTGGGTTAAAAACCTCAAATCCTCCTGTGTTTGGGGACAGTGTAGAAGGGTCCTGAGTTCCTATTTTAAGAATAAACATTTATTCATACACATATGTTAAGAGAAAATAGTCACTGCTTTAAGAGATAGCAAGCAGTCATGTATGTATTTAAATGCATTTTCCAAGAATTTTTAAAATTGCAAATGAATGCCAAAAAAAAGAACAGAACGGAATTATATATAAAGACAAACAAACAAGACATGACCCAGAACAGACAGATTTGCCTATCAATACTTTGAAAACATCAATATGCCTTTGAAAATATTACTTAAGCATGCACTTCAAAGTACAAACCCATTAAAAACTTAGAAATTGGGAAAGAATAGAAGGAAATCCTACAAGAATATATTTCCAGGCATTCTCAATTTCGAACATTGCCAGATATCCTTTATTCTACACTGTCACAGTCCAAAGAACATAAATGGATTCACTTCATTTTCACACTTCACATTCCAATGCATTGTAATTAATGTCCCTTAATTCAAATACTGACCCTCCAAAAATGTCCCTGCTTTTAAATGCATTGATTGATCACCTGAGCAACTTCCAAAGGACAAACCTGTTAGAAAGAAGTCTCGGCATTTATATTTTTCAAGAAACTGGCAAGATCAAGGCAAAGGCCATTGTAGAGACATTATACATTTTCTAAATTCTGCGAAACCTTGTCATTGTTTTTGGGTGAACAAAACACTCTCCAAACCCAACAGATGATCAACAGAATATAATATTCTTACCGGAGGTCGTTTCCAGATAATGCCTTGAGTTTTGGGAGAATATGGCCCCAAATCTCTGTAGCCAAGAGCAGAAGGACAAGCAGGGAATTCTTCATCTTTGAACAAAGTACCAGACTTTAAGCACTGCCTCCTTAGCTCCTCAAAATCCTGTTTTAGATACTTTATTGCCTTCCCATTGGAACCCAAGCCTTCTAATACTTCCTTCTCCTTGGCCAATTTAATTGCTACACTGGTCATTGTGCTAAGCTTTCTGTAAGGCACTCAGAGACGAGAAATCTGACAATCTAATTGCAAAGTGGAATCAGTGAAAGTTAGTGACCAGGTGAGGGTGGAGCAAGCACAGTTTGGCACAGTGGCACCTGTAAATGGGAGGAGACACACAAAGGTAAATATGTACACAATTGAAATGGAAAAGATTAGGGGAGGAAGGAAGCCAGAGTGAAAGAACAGTCTAGTGACTGTGACGTTCTCTGTTATTCATCTGTGAAGGAAATGCTTGTTTTCCAAGCAGCCACTGAATGTCCATCTATCTATCTATGATAGTGGTTCTCAACCTATGGGTCCCTAGGTGTTTTGGCCTATAACTCCCAGAAATCCCAGCCAGTTTGCCAGCTGTTAGGATTTCTGAGAGTTGCAGGCCAAAAATCTAGGGAGCCACAGGTTGAGAACCACTGATCTATGACAAAAAAAAAAGTGTTGAAAAAAGAGCTAACAATGCAAGCACTTAAGAAAAGTCTTGTTAAATCAGACCAAAGGCCTTTGCAATCAACTTTCTGTTCACAGTGGTCAATCAGTTTCCTATCGGAAGCCTATCAGCTGGAGATGACATGAGTGAAACTACACACTTTCTTTCAAGGTCTCAAGAGAGAGATATTTTGCCTCTAATACTGGAGTCATACAGAATATTAGCCCTTGAGGGTCCTGTTCTCCATTAATTTATCCAATTCCCTTTAAAACTGTCCAAGTTGGTAGCCATGGATACATTTTGTGTCATCCAATTCTACCATTTAACTATGCTCTGTGCATAGTGTTGCCAGATGTACTTTATTCAAGAGGCAGAAAGCTTGTCCTGTATGGGCATTAAACAAAAAGGTTTAAAATACTATGTTTTCATGAATGAGTTGATTTCAGAACAAATCAAAGGTTTGTGGGTTCTTCGAATTGCACAGGAGCTTGGAATTTTTACCAAAGGGGTTGAGGTGCGCTTTATAAAGGCCTTCCCCATATGTCCCAGCCAGAGTTGACTGTCCCATACTTCTGTCCTGAAAACCTGGGGATATAGTTGTGTGAAAAGGTACTTTCCATTTAAGTCCTGAATCCCTTTCCATTCACTTTCAGTCAGGGCTGTAGCCAGAAAAAATTTTTGGGAGGGGTTGAAAATTTCACGGGGGGTAAAATTTGGGGGGGGGGGGTTGAAACCTGCCTCCTAGCTCACGCTGAAGCAAAGAGCACAGCAGGGGGCTGAGCAGCCTTCAATAGCCTGCAGCTCCGCCCCTGTCAACCACCTCCACCAAGTCTGGCCTCCTTAATGAGAGCATTCAACACTCCCCAACTTGGTTGCTTCACTACATCGGCTATTGCTGCAAGTAATGACAGTGTGAATAAATTGTCAATATTTGCTTGAGATAGTGCTTGCAGTTCTGGAGGGACTCTTAATTTTTTGCATCTCATAGACTTAGCATGGGGACTTGGTTAACCAGTTAAAATTCATGAGTAAACCAGTTTGGTTTTTTTTAACCTTAAAAAATTGGGTGGGGGGTTGCCCCCCCCCCCCCCCTCGCTACAGGCCTGCTTTCAGTGTATGGTGCTGGGTTCTAGAATTTTGACTAGGGAAGAAAAGTTTCTCTTTGTCTCATTTCTCTACTTCATACCATTCATAATCTTATCAGCCTTTATCATGTCACACCTTGTATGACTTTCTTTCTCTGCAAAACAGCCTCATGTTTTCCAATATTTCCTCATAGGGAGTTTCTCCAGTCCCTTGATCATCTTGAGGTCCATCTACATTGTAGAATGAATGCAGTTTACACCACTTTAACTGCCAAGGACCAATACTATAGAATTATGAGAGTTGTAATTTCACATCAAAAATTGAAATCAAGAGGGCATCAGATCAGCTCTGTAGCAATCAAATGCTTCATGGAACTGATCCGGATTAACAAATGGCAAGACCACCTTAACACAGGAAAGAAGGAAGGAAGGAAGGAAGGAAGGAAGGAAGGAAGGAAGGAAGGAAGGAAGGAAGGAAGGAAGGAAGGAAGGAAGGAAGGAAGGAAGGAAGGAAGATAGGTCACTGAGGTTCTTCACATCCTATATGAATAGAAGCCAGGTGTACTAGCTGAAGAAACTCTAATAGTGCCACTTTGGGTCCTGTTTAGGGAGAAAAGTGGGATATAAATAAAGATGTATTGTTATTGTTGTTGTTATTATTATTATTATTATTATTATTATTATTATTATTATTTTCTCCAAAATTTAAAGCAGTCCTAAATTAAGCCACATTTGTTCATTTTTGTCACTGAACATACAGATATTAGAACTCTGAATAGGGCCCAGGTGGACAACTCTATCCAAATGATTTATGCATTCCTTGCTGTTTATATCCCTTGTTCAGTTGTCTAGCATTCTGTCATGTGTTGTTATCTCATGGGAGGTTTCCTCCAATTAAAAGCTCTTTTCTCTTCCCACCCTGATAGGTTCAACTCCTGAACACAGAGATCAAGTGCTTTGCAAATCGCAGGCCTGTTACTCGGCCTAAGCAAAACCATTTGTCATTTGAAATGAAATGAAATGAAATTAAGCAGGAATGATGTTGAAATTGCTAGTATAAATACTCCAGCAATCAGCAGCTTTCCCTTTAAGAACATTCAAATAGAAAATAAATGCATCTTTCATTTCCATATTAGAATGACAGAATAATTTTTAACTTAATGTTTTTTTTTCCTAGAATCTATAACCAACAAATGGGAAGGTTACTATATATATTCATGTATAGATCTAGAATTTTAGTCAAAGAATCAACCCCCAAATCTGGCACCACTTATCCACAGGTCAATGAGAGTACTGTATGTTAACTCTTGTCATAAAGAAACCACCGCCTTCTCTGAGTAATGAAAAGCAAGAGCTTATTCCACCCTGCGAGAACCTAAAAGAACTACCACCTACGTACCTCTACTGGCCTTATGAAAGCCTGGGTGGGAAAATGGCAGTGATGGCTGACAGTTTTCTCCCACTGTGGAATGCCTTCAATTTAGCCAAAAGTCATATCAAATTCCATAATTTTTACCCTAAAACCTACCCTCAACTTAGACATGAGGTCGACCTATACACAAGTATATACAGTAATCAAAATAAGATTGACTTTCATTTGTTTCAGACTCAGCATTGTATAATGCAAGGGTGTCCAACCTTTTGGCTTCCCTGGACCACATTAGAAGAAGTCTTGGGCAACACAAAAATGCACTAACACTAATGATAACTGATGAGCAAAGAAAAAAAAGAAAGAAAAAAGGGGGTCCATGCATAATTTTTGTGATATCTGCCATTAACAGATAAACGAAAAAAGTACCTGCATAATAATCCTAATTATGTGCCACCTCGTTTGGAGGATGTTTTAAAATTGCTGAGCAGTTCTTCTGGCTGAACTGTTTGCAATTATAATGTTAATTCAGGATAACACTTTGATATTTGTATACATAATATATTCTGATTATTCCATTCCATTCCATTGTTGAGTACAAAAGTTTATGTTCTAGAACTATGCAATTGAGTTACAAAAAAACCTCATTATGTTTTAGGTAAGTTTATGATTTTGTGTTGGGCCACATTCTTAAGTGTTCTGGGCCACATGCGGCCCATGACAAGCCTGGCGTTGTTGTTTGAGGATTGGACGATGACTCTGGAAATGAGGGTTTGAATCCCCACTCAGCTATAGAAATCAGCTGAGGCCTTGGGGGGGGGGGGTCTCAGAGGAAGTAAAAGACAAAGCCCATCTGAACAAATCTTGCCAAGAAAACCCTGTGATAGAAGTAACCAAAAATCAGAAACAACTTGAAGACACACAACAACAGCTTCACTTTCATGTATCTTTCCCTTGGCCTCTGTTTTTAGCCTATGGCCACCTATGTATTCTTGTCTCTGGGTTCCCTATCTCTTAGCCACCTTATCGGGATCATTTTCCAGTCATCAGCCTACCCCACTACTGAATTTCAAACATTCTTATACATTCCTTCTCAGAGGAATTTGTATAAATATCCCTGGAAGCAACTCAGGAAATCGCAAAAGGTTCTCTCTCCTACCTATGTTCCCATTTTAATGTGAAGTTGACTATGTGGAAAGAAAGAGTACTTGGGACAAAATTATCCAGTGTTAGAGCCAGATTGAATGTTGAACCCTATTGTCCTCTTTCTTTTCCCAATATTCTAACCCAGGGGTCCCCAAACTAAGGCCCATGGGCCAGATACGGCCCTCCAAGGTCATTTACCCAGCCCTCGCTCAGGGTCAACCTAAGTCTGAAACGACTTGAAAGCACCAACAACAACAACAACAATCCTATCTCATCAGCCAAAAGCAGGCCCACACTTCCAATTGAAATACTAATAAATTTATATTTGTTAAAATTGTTCTTCATTTTAATTATTATATTGTTTTAAAGTATTTTTGCACTACAAATAAAACATGTGCAGGGTGCATATGAATTCATTTTTTTTTCAAATTATAATCCAGCCCTCCAACAGTTTGAGGGGCTGTGACCTGGCATTCTGTTTAAAAAGTTTGAGGGCCCCTGCTCTAACCTTTATATTAAGACCTACTGCAACCCAGTCTTTAGCTAATCCTAACAGTTGCAAGAATACAAAGATTATGCCAGAATACACACATAGCTAAAATGCTATTGAAAAAAGCCCATCCAGTTTGTTTAAAAATCTCCAAAGAATGAGAGTCAATTGCCTTCAAGAGCAGTCTGTTCTGTTGAGCAGATCTTACAGTAAAGTTGTTCTTTTTAATTGCAATACTTTTGTTGGAATTTGAATCTATTATCTCACGTTCTAGTCTCTAGAGTAGCAGAAAACAAGCTTGATCCATCTTCTACAAGCCACTGCCTTAGGTATTTAACAATAGAGGTCGTGTCACCTCTATACCAATCTAAACACATCCAGCTCTTGAAGTCATTCCTCCTAAGGTTTGGTCTCCAGACCTTTGTTTGACGTAGTCATCCTTCTGTGGGCATATTCCAGTTTTTTGATATTATTGTTGAATTATAGTGCCTGTAAGTAAACACAGCATTCTGTATGAGGTCTAACCAAAACAGA